AGAACAATGGATCCAGTGGTCAGAAGGAGGCCCAGGACCAGGGCCCAGATGTTCAGGCACTTGGCGGTGGAGGCATAAGTCTGGGCCCCAGCCAGGTCACCCACCATCTTCCGGTCCCTGGACTGGGGAGAAGAGATGGAGTGTGCGATCAGGCCCAGGTCCTGGTGAGAGCCAGGGACTCAGGTGGCCCCCTGGCTGGTCCCTGCCCAGGGCAGTCTCCACCTGCCCTTCACCCTCCCCATTCCCTGGAGCCTGAGCAGGACCGGGCCCCGTGGACCCTTCCCTCCTGGGGCCTGGATCTCCTTCCTCAGCCTCTCAGGAGACCCCAGGCCTTGTCCTCCCTCTGCTTTGGCCCCTTCACTGGCCTCACACCCCATCAGGGATGAGCAGCCTTGGAGTACGTTTTGATTCTTTTGGACCAGACTTGAGGTCTGAATCCAAAGTGTGTGGAGGATATAATTTCCCTAATTAGGCTGGGAAGGAGAACTTCTTGGAGATGGTGGGGACATAGGCTGACCCTGCCATTCCCATGCAGCCTCACCCTGTGCTCTCCCTGGGAATGGTCACACACACACACACACACCCCGCACGTGCCCTGTGGGCTGGCGGACCTCCGCGGGCTCACTGCACCTTCTGGGAGAGTCCCTCCCCACACCCCCTCACCTTCACGGAGTAGGCGAAGGCCACGAAGCCCAGGCAGCACCAGTTCATGAAGATGGTGTTGAACAGGGACCAGATGATGTGGTCGCGCACGGCTGTCTCACTACGGATGTTGATCACAGTGGTCGTCACGGGAGCTGAGCCTTAGGGGGCCCCCATTACAGGACCCCAGGGCTCCTGCTGGACCATGTTTAAGTTTAGGGGATGTGTTTGTGCTCACCAGGGAAGAAGGGCCAGGAAGCGCAATTAGGTTGCCAGAGTTTTGACCATTTGCAGGGTGAGCCCCGGATGTAGGAGGTGGCCCCAGGTAGAGCTCAGCCCCAAATCAGGGTCCCCTCTCCCCATGTCAGCTTCCTTCTGCTTTCTCCGGAACTTCTCTTTCCTCGTGCTTTGTAACTGGGTGACTTGGCTGGCTCCAAGAGGTGGACCACCCATGAGTGTCAGGTTCTGGGTGTTTTGTGCTCACAGGTCAGGATCCAGCAGTCTGTGTTGCCTGTCCCGGGGGAGCCTCCAGCATCTCTCAAGGGTCCCCGGGAGTGAGAACGGGGGCGCTCCGTGACGGGAGGAGCCGGCTGTGGTGGGAGGCAGGAGGCTCCAGGCCGTGGGGCAGCAGCTGGGAGCGCAGGGCCGGCGTATCTGTGCACCCACACCTTTCCTCCTGCCCCAGATCAGGTCACATACAGCCAAGGATCTTTTAAGGTTTGTCAAGAGAAAGCACGCAGGGAGGAAGTCGGCTCTTGGAAAGGGCTTGCCCCACCCCAGGTCCTTCTGGAACTTACAATCTTTCCTTTTCCACCCCAATCCACCCCCACGGAAAGATGGCATCATCAGAGCAAGACAAATGTTTCACCTGAGGTAAAGCAGGCCCTGTGTTGGAGCTGCCGTGACGGTTGTGCCCGCCCCTTCACACACCAGAAAGAATGCCAGTGGAGGCCTGGCTCCTTCTCCGATCCTTGGGCAATGTCGCATCCCTCCAGTCCCTCCTGCTCTGCTCTTGTGGCCCCAGATCAGGGTCTGTCCCCCATCTCCCCTGGAGTTTCCAAGGCGCCCAGTGCCTCCTCCCTGTCCTGGTGTGCGTCCATATACCTGGTGACCCTGTTCCCCTCACTGCCCCATCCAGTGGTCCTCCTGGTTGGCCCCCACTCCTTCGAGGGCCCCAGGCTGGCTGTGTCCATGGCCTGACTGTGGCCACGAGTGAGTTCCAATGGAAAAGTGCAGTAAGTATAGAACACCCAACATTTTAAAGGGTTGATGAGAAAAAATTTTTGATAAGATATAATACATTTCATTGATAATATTTTTTACTGATTATATGTTGAGATATTTTGGGGATTTATTGGCTCAAATAAAATAGATCATTAAAATAAATCTTACTCATTTCCATTTGCTTTTTTGAATGTGGTTATGAAATATTTAAAAATTGGGTTTGTGGGAAATAAATTCAAAATGGATGAAAGATCTAAATGTGAGACAGGAACTATCAAAATCCTAGAGGAGAACATAGGCAGCAGCCTCTGTGACCTCAGCCACAGCAACTTCTTACTAGACATGTCACTGGAGGCAAAAATGAACTATTGATAAAAAGCTCAGCCATCAAAAAGAATGAAATCTTGCCATTTGCAACTACATGAATGGAGCTAGAAAGTATAATTCTAAGCAAAATAAGTCAAAGATAAATAACACAATTTCACTCAGATGTGGAATTTAAGAAACAAAACAAATGAGCAAAGGGAAAAAAAATAGAGAGAGAGACAAACCCAGAAACACTCTTACTTAACTCTAGAGAACACACTGATGGTCACCAGAGGGGAGGTGGGCAGGGGGATGGGGGAAACAGGTGAAGGGAATCAGGGAGGGCACTTGTCATGATGAGCACCGGGTGATGTATGGAAGTGTTGAATCGTACACCTGAAACTAATATTACACTGTATGTTAACTAATTGGAATTTAAATAAAAACTAAAAAATAAAATAATAAAATAAAATTGGGTTTGTGCCCTACACTCTACTGAAGTCACAGCCTGGATGATCTGTAGGCAGCAGCAGATGTGGTCCCATCCATGTGCAGCATCAGAAACCTGGCAAGGTGGCATCAAGCCAGGTATCAAGAGGATGGTGTCTTGGGGAGACCCACCCTTACCCGTCCCCATACGTCTTGGCCCATTCACAAATGGGGCAGGGTCTCCCTCTGAGTCTGCTTGCTGGCCCTGCTTGGTCTCAGCCCGTGGGCAGCAGGGGTCACACAGTTGCCCCATCTGTCCTCTAGCCCCGGCAGCTCTTTGTCAGATTGCCTTGGAAGGCTGCTTACAACAAAACATGCTCTTTCTATTTAAAGTCTTAGGAGTTTTGCAAGACTTTCTTTTTCTTTTTCTTTTTTTATATATTTTACTTATTTATTTGATGGAGAGAGATAGCAAGAGAGGGAACAAAGTATAGGGAGCTGGAGAGGGAGAAGCAGGCTCCCCCCAGGACACTGGGATCACGACCTGAGCCGAAGGCAGTCGCTTAACCAACTGAGCCACCCAGGTGCCTCCAGGGTTCCCCTTTCTCCACATCCTTGCCAACATCTGTGTTTCCTGACTTGTTAATTTTAGCCATTCTGACAGGCGGGCGATAGTATCTCATTGTGATTTGTATTTCCTATTCTGAGGATGTGGAGCATTATTTCATGTGTCTGTTGGCCATTTGTATGTCAAGAAGTGCCTTCTGAAGCTGCAGTTGGACAGTACACTGCAGGAACAGCTGGAGAGCCAGAGCTTAGAGACGAGGCCCGGATGACCACAGAAAATTGGGACAGACGTGAGAGAAGACCTGGAGCCCAGGGCAGAGGGTGGAAAGTGTTCTTCATGAGTTGCAGGGGGAGGCTCCGTTCTCTTGCACAACTACCCGCCCAGCACTGAAGCCTGGAGGTGCTGGAGTACCATCCTCTAAGAGCACCCCTCTCTCTTCCATAAACCTGCCAGCTGCCTGGAACTCCATGGACTTGACTCTTCGGTAATCATCCGTGTTGCTGGCCAAGACGCGGGCTTTCTCGGCAGCACACAGTGTTAGTGTGCACCTCCCTGAAGCTAGTCCTGACCTGGATTCGCTGCTGCTCGACAGGGTTACAAGTGAAGGGCGTCTCTTCCAGGCAAGGGAGACCTTGTGATTCACCACCTTCCCTGGGATGCGCACGGAAGCACATGTTGGGGAGCCCCGCCCTAGGTCCCCGAGGGTAGCACTTGGACTGCACTGCCGGTGCAGACCCACATTTGAGTGGTAGCATGAGCAAGAAACAAGGCTTTCTTTGAAGTCCCTGAGATTTGGAGTTGTTACCACAGCTCAATCTCACTCACCCTGAATGATACAGGGAAGGACTGCCATCATTTAAGACTTTGAAAGTATGGCATTGGCCTCCAGCTAGGTTGTAGGTGACAAACTATTCTTGGGGGCTAGAAAGAGTGACCCATGTAAAGTAGTGTGATGGTAAATTCTCTATGCACCTTGACTGGGCCACAGGGCCCGGATGTCAAACATTGTCCTGGATGTGTCCTGAGGGTGTTTCTGGGTGCAATTAACATGTCAATCGGTGGACTGAGTGAAGCAGGGTGGCCTCCCCAGTGTCAGGGGGCCTCGTCCAATCTGTTGGAGGTCTGAATAGAACACAAAGGTGGAGAAAGGGAGAATTCACTCTGCCCACCTGTCTTTGAGCTGGGATGTTGGTCTTCTCCTGCCTTGGGACTCAGACTAAGGCCGGAGGACACCCCTGAGCCTCCACAACATGTGAGCCAACTCCTTGTACTCTGTTTCTTTCTGTGTGTATGTCCATTGATTCTATTTCTCTGGGGAATCCAGACTAGTACAAGCAGTGAGGAAACCCGTGGTGAAACACCCACCCTGTGATATCTGGAGGAAGGACTGCAATATAATGATTTATAAGAAACAGGTATTTGGTCATCAGATGACCAAATATGTTTCTCAGACATATCTGGTCTTCATCCACAGCTCCTGAGAACTCTTAAAGGTGACCCAGGGTCTCATTATAGTGAAGGTGACTCCTGGACCCACCCAAGGGTGTCCAGGAGGACCAACTGTGGGATTGGAGGGCTGGAACTTCCAACCATCCCCAGAGGTTGTATCAGCCAATGGCCAATGACTTAGTCAATTACGACTATATAATGAAGCTTCCATAAAAACCCAAGAGGACAAGTTTTCTGGTCCTTTTACTTTTCAGAGATCTTCCATGTTCGAGGGACCAGAACACTCCCATGTGTGACCAAGCTCCATGAGTGCAGAGACTCCATTGTGTGAGATCTTGCCCTACATATCTCTTCATCTGGCTGTTGATTCATGTCCTTTGTTACATCATGTAACACACTGGTAACCCTAAGGAAGTGTTTCCCTGAGTTCTGTAAGTTGCTCTAGTAAATTAGAAGAACCTGAGGAGAGGGTTGGAGCCTCCAATCTGTAGTGGTCCATTAGAATCCCTGGTGACAGCCAGGCTTGTGATGGCATCTGAGGTGGGGGTGGGGACTGTCTTACAGGACTGAGCCCTCCACCTGTGGGATCTGACACTATCTCTGGGTAGATGGTGTTGGAACCCAGCTGGCATCCAAGAATTGCTGGGTGCTGCGGGCGGGGCTACACATTGGGATTGGGTCCAGGAACCCTAAAAGACAGACCAAGAACCTAATAAATGTGTAGCCCTAGGATAAGACATGGGCAAACATTTGTTGTGTGTCATGAACCTGAACCTGTCAAGCCTGGCACCTGCATTTCAGTCAGGGTTCAGGGGCTGAGGGTGAGAAAGCGAAAGAGACAGAGCATGACTGAGCACCATGGAAAAAGGGAGCGAAAGGTGGGACTATTGGCACATGGATCGGACTAAAATTAAATCAAATGTGGTTGGGTTTTTGTTTTTTTTTTAAGATTTTATTTATTTATTTGACAGAGAGAGACACAGCGAGAGAGGGAACACAAGCAGGGGGAGTGGGAGATGCAGAGGCAGGCTTCCCGCCGCCGAGCAGGGAGCCCAATGCCGGGCTCGATCGCAGGACCCTGGGATCGTGAACTGAGCCGAGGGCAGACGCTTAACGACTGAGCCACCCAGGTGCCCCGAAATCAAATGTTTTAAAGTTGATTAAACACGTGAAGGATTTGCACTG